GAAGTGGACATTTGGCAAAATTAGATCTCCACCTGTAGAATGAAACTAAACCACTATCCTTCACCTTGCACTAAAGTCAACTCCAAATAAATCAAAGACCTCAATGTGAGGCCTGAAACTCTGAAACTGTTAGAAGAAAACATTGGCGATAACCTACAAGATATAGGTATAGGAAAGGATTTTCTAAACTGGACATCAACTGCCCAGGAAACAAGGTGAAGAATCAACAAATGGGACCCCATTAAACAAAAAATCTTCTGTACATCAAAATAACCAAGGAAGTGAAGAGAAAACCCACAGAATGGGAGAAAATCTTCACCAGAGACACATCTGACAGAGGGTTAAATCCAGAATATATAATGAACTTAAAATCAAAGAATCAAAAAGGAAGTAACCCAATTAAAAGATGGGATAAGGAACTGAACAGAGAGTTGGCAAAAGAAGAAATAAAGATGGCTAAGAAGCATCTTAAAAGTTGCTTAACATTACTAGTAATTAGGGAAATGCAAATTAAAACCACTTTAAGATTTCATCTTACCCCAGTCAGACCGGCTAAGATCAAGAGAACAAATAATACCAAATGTTGGAGAGGATGTGGGGAAAGGGGAACACTCATTCACTGCTGGTGGGATTGCAAACTTGTTCAACCCCTATGGAAAGCAGTATGGAGAGCTCTTAAAAAACTATAAATGAACCTACCATTTAACCCAGTTATACCACTCCCTGGCATATACCCAAAGAACTTATCCTATTGCAGAGACACTTGTACATCCATGTTTGTTGCTGCTCTTTTCACAATTGCTAAGAGATGGAAGCAACCTAAGTGTCCCTCAACTGATGAGTGGATATTGAAAATGTGGCTCATTTATATGAATGGAGTTTTACTCAGCAAAGAAAGATGAAATCATGAAATTTGAAGGTAAATGGATGGAACTAGAAACTGTTATACTAAGTGAAGTAACACAGACTCAGAAAAAATAAACAAACAAACAAAACGACGTATGTTTTCCCTCATGTGTGGATCCAAGCACCAAATCCTTATAAGTGAGTATGTATCCAGACATAACTACAGGAACCAGAATAATGGAAAGGAACCAGGGAGGTAAAGGAAAAGAAAAAATCTGAAAGAGAAGAACAGTAGGAAACAGGTGTTAATAAGGGAGATATGTATAAAAATGGGGTTATTTTAAGGGGGATGAAGGGAAGGTTATACAAGGACCTAGGGGATAAAGGGAAAGAAGGAGCTCAAGAGAGATGGGACCACAGGAGAAGGGTATTATTAAAGGAGAAATGGGAAAAATGGGGGCATTTTAAATGGGGAAACCATGGTGGAAGGGTTAGGCAATGTGAGAGATAAATAAAGCCTAGCTAGTTTTAAAAAACCAGAGGGAACCATATTAATCGAACAACCTACTGACAAATTATACACACAACCAGATCCAAGAATGAAATATATGTCTAGGCAAGGTTTATCTGAGAGCGTTTGGCCTTTCCCCAAGCTCTATCTACATGGCACATGGTAATTAAAAGTACAAGACTGGTGGAACTAACCTTGGATGTTTAACAGCCATACTACGAGGCCTATGCTAATTTGGACACAGGGACATAAAGGACAGTTTTTGCTCCTTTCCCTCCTAGGTTGACTAAGTTCCATGGGACTATGAGCATCTCTCAAAATGTCCTGTAACTACGGTGAGTCACCTGTCCTCTTGATCAAGGAGGCTGTGGAGACCCCCATCAGATGGACCTGAATCAGTGTCCAGTCTACAAAGAGGAGGGTCAACACAGAGGAAACATTTCCTCCATGCTTCCAAGTGAAGCCAGCCATGGTTGAGTAGGATCTTTGACTTATCTTCACATAGATGGAACTGGTAAAAGAAAGGAGCCAGGGGCTCCTCCCAAACCCATGTCTGGGCCAATTTTAGGGTCTTAAACACCCAAAAGGAAAGTATAACCAAAGATTAATGGGGCCAATATAATTTTTTAAGAGTCCATATGTATAACTAAAGGCTACATAACAAGAAACAATGCCATCCAGGAGATACCTCCCTTTGAGTTATTGGTCAGGGTGGCCCAAAAGACACCCAGACAATAACCCAGCATAGAACTGGGAAAATGAACAGCAGGCCCCAGCCTTATCTAAAGGAATATTGACAACTGATTGCTGCTAGATGAGGAACAGCTGATCTTCCTAAAATAAGGATCTCTAGATAGGCTGATGGACCAGCACTGCGGAATGGCTGAGGGTGCTGATAAAACAGTGGACAGTAACAGGGATGACAGAGTACATGGACTCCAGTGTGTGGGAATGGGAGGCTATGGGGGGGTGCCATTTAGGAAGTGGGTATATAGATGAATAAAATTGTGTGGAATGTTCTGTATGATACACACACACACACACACACAATCAACAAATTAAAAAAATCATATTTGAGGAGGAAGCATAAAAATTTGCTTCATGTTAATTAGTGGAGGTGATTAAACATTACCATTGAAATCTACCTGATGACTTTATATCCATACTCAGGTGCCAAGGATCTGAGTGTAACCGACTGTGACTAGTAATAATCAGATGCATAGAGATTAAAGACACATGTGCAAACATCTAAATTAGCAGCATTAAAAATGTAGGAAACAAGCCAGGTGTGGTGGCACATGTCTTTAATCCCAGCACTTGGGAGGCAGAGGCAGGCGGATCTCTGTGAGTTCAAGGCCAACCTGGTCTACAAAGTGAGTTCCAGGCCAGCTGGGGCTACAAGGAGACCCTGTCTCAAAAAGACCAAAAAAAAATGTGGGAAACACCATATTTTAAAACAAAATGGAGATATTCTTTAAAGGGTAAAAACACATTTAATTTTATGTCTTATAGGGTTTATACTGAATTCAATACTGTATAACTATTAATTCAACTGTGAACCTAAAAATTCACAGCCGCTTTTGAAAGAGATGTATCCTTGTTCTGGAAATTGTTACTGAGTATGTTAAAGTTATAATGAAATGCTTCATGTTGTTATTAAATAAAAAAAGATACTACCAAATATTATAGCTCCATAGACTACTAGCTTTGGGACACTCATCCAGAGAGAGACAGATGTTTCTCTTTCTTTGCAAACATAGGGTTACCATGATGTATGAAGGGTAAACATTTGATGAATGAACAAATGAAAGAATGAGTGAAACATATCCAGAGGGAGAAAACTCAAAGCCAGGGACAGGCTTGCTTTGCAATTGCTAATTCTGCATGAGTGGGTGTTTTTCAGAAAGTGGGTGTAAGAGTCTCAAAGATCATTGCAGATCAGCTGGGCATGGCGGCTCATGACTCTAATTCCAGCATCCAGGAAGCTAAGAGAGGAGAACTGTTGCAGGTTCAAGGTCAGACTATAGAGTAAAACCTTGTCTCATACACAAAAAAGATAATGCATATAGGCAAGATGAAATACAGCAAAGATGATATTTATATTCCTCCACTCACCTAGGAAGCTCCCTGTGTGAGGGCAGGCACTGAGGCTTCTCAGTGGGGATCTGTTGCTGTGTCCTTCGGAACAGAGTTACCAGGTGCTGTCTGATTTCCTTGGTTCTGGCTCCATAGATGATGGGGTTGACCAGACATGGGAGAAGCAGGTAGAAAGCACTGAGCAGGTTGTGCACATCCTGGGAGGCAGTGCGGGCCACACGATAGACGATTGATGAGGACATGGTAGAGGAGTAGACAGTGAAGATGACCAGTAAGTGGGAGCCACAGGTGTTCAAGGCCTTGGAACGTGCTCCGCCTGATGAGATCTTGAAGGCAGCATGGATGATGCAGGAGTACGAGGCTCCCAGCAGAAGCATGTCCAGGACCCTATTGAAGATGCGGACAGTAAGCCCCACAGTCTTGTTCAGTGAGATGTCCCCACAGGCGAGCTTCATCAGGGCCATGTGCTCACAGGCAAAGTGATGGATCACATCTGAGCGGCAGAAGCGGACCCGGGAGGCCAGCACCACCACTGGGGCAACAATGCATGTGCTCCTGGCTACTGCCACCCCCACCAGGCCAGTGAGCAAGTGTCCTGTCACCATCTCTGGGTAGCGGAGAGGGTAGCAGATGGCCACATAGCGATCCAGGGCCATGACCAGGAGGATGTTACAGTCAAACACAATGAGAAAATAGATGCAGAACATCTGGAGCAGGCAGCAAGTCAGGGAGATGCGGTTGAAGCTTGTGGAGAAGCTGAAGAGGATGGCGGGCAGCACGGTGGTGGCGGCACAGATGTTGACAGTCAGGAGCAGGGCGATGAGCAGGTACATGGGCTGGTGCAGGCTCTGCTGGGCTGCCACGGTGTGGATGACCAGGGCATTGGTGGAGAGGATCACCAGGTAGAGGCTGAGGAAGGGCAGCACCAGGAGGGTTCGGGATGCCTGCATCCCTGGGAAGCCCACCAGGAGGAAGCTGGTGTAGGATGCATTGGAGCTGCCATTGCTCCACCCTGACATGATGATTCCAGGGAAGAAGAGGGGACAGGACACCTGGTATGAGTCCCAGCCCCTGCTAAGACCTGCCCCAGCCTCACGAGGCTGCACAGGGTACTTTGTCTGTCATGAGCTACAATATTTCTGTCAAGGAAATGAAGAGTTATTTGTTAAAATTTAGTGTGATGTTTTAAGAAATAACTGCTTTCCATAGCCCCTACTTGTTTTCCTTTCTTTTCATCACCTAATCTGATGCAGGGCCTAATGGAATATTTAAGAAAAATGAGGGTTTTAATCCTTGTCTTCTCTCTCTGTCAGTAGAGTTCCACTGACAAGTTTGTGGTTAGGATGCTGACACAGCTAGATAGGGCTGTGGTTTTAGATAAAACCTGATATGATAACACCTTTGGCATCTAGCTGAGGATGGGGACATTGCACCCCAGCCCCAGACAGCTGTGGTAAGCACCTGCAACTTCCTGCCTTTCTTTGGAAACTTATTTTTTTTTTTTTGTCTTTTTGAAACAGGGTCTCCCTGTAGCCCCAGCTGGCCTGGAACTCACTATGTAGACCAGGATGGCCTTGAACTCACAGAGATCTGCCTGCCTCTGCCTCCCGAATGCTAGTATTAAAGGTGTGTGCTACTACACCTGGCTCCTTTGGAAACTTTTAATCTATTTTTAAAAATAAAACTTTACTGTAATTCCTTTGAATATGAATAATTCTTATGAATATGTAATCCTTTAAAATGTATGAACTCTCTTTAATTGGGGTCAGACTAGATAAAATACCTGCTTCCTGTACACTCCCTGTGTCCTGCTTGATCTTTCCCTCAACAAATCCTTCCTGAGGATCTGTTTAGTGCTAGTTTCTATGCTAGGGGGTTAGCGTACCTAATGAGTAATTGCTTGTCTCTGTCTTGTGTGAACTCGACTGTACTGAATGAGATAGAAATGCAATGGTTGAGTGCTGAAATGGAACCCTCTGTTCTAGCTTCAGCTGATGTGACACAACCAGGGGCAAAAACACAGGGCACGTTCTCCTTTCCATTTCAAACTCAGGTGCTGAAGTGAGCTTGCTATGCAGGATTTACAGAGGAGGTGGCTGGACATGGTTACTATCTGTGGTTGTAGTACCCACCTGGAGAGGATGAAAGGTATGAGGCTGGGGAATCTGAGAAAGACAGCTCATTTCCTATCCCTCATCCTAGGGAAGGTGGGGACGACAGAAAGGGAGCCGATTCTTCATCTTGGAGGGGGGTCTTTTAAAAGACAGCTACAAATCTGAATTATATCTCTGCAACTATGCTATGATCTGCCATTTTCATAAATGAATAACATCATTTATTGTCAGTGACTCTATTTGTGACTCTTTAGAGATTACCTCTTCCTTTTGATCTATTTTAGGCTTTATAGTTTGACAAAGATTAACATGAGCTACCATTGTCCAATCTTCTCTCATCTTGGTGAGTTGACATCTTGGCAATTGTCATATTAAAAGAAAAAGATTTTGAGGGGCTGGAGAGATGGCTCAGCGGTTAAGAACACTGGTTGTTCTTGCAGAAGACCAGGGTTTGAATCCCAGCACTCACATGACAGCTAACAACTGTCCATGACTCCAGTCCCAGGGGATCCAACAGCCTCTTCTGACCACCGCTGGCATTGCACGACATGGGTGCACTTACCTACATACAGACAATACATGCATACACATAAAATAAAAATAATGAATAAAAAAAAGATTTATCAAATACTGTAAGGAAGTCCTGAAAAGCATGTTAGTTCTGTCAATCACCTGGAGCTCAACTTTATCATAATCAGATGTTCCATGAGCTCTTCCCCACCTTGGGTTTTATTTCCTTCTCAACTACATTTGTTCCTTCTTTTATGGCTTCAGTGTATTTCACATAATATAAAAAAGAAAATGAAGATGGAAGCTGAGCAGTTTCTGTCATCTCTTGTTACTGTATCATCTGACCTAGCCATATAAAACCTGTCTCTTTGGTTCTTTCTTCCCTCTGTTCTTCCCACCTCCTGCTCCTGCTTCTCCATCTTTCTGGGAGCAATCACCTGAACACTCCATTCTCTTTAACCTTGGATGTACAGTTGTCCCTTTGGAAATGTAGACTTTTACTCCTGGGGGCCATCCTAGGCTAACCGTGAAGTCTGAGCAGAGGAGGGCATGGAGTGAGGATCCCGAGACTGAGGTTAATGGAGGAGACCATGGCCCAGGACTGAGGTTTTCATAGGGGAGTCTGGGCTGTCATAGGAGAACAGAAACAGCTCATATTTTGAGGTTGCTAGTGGTAGAGAGCCATAGGGGCAGGGGAGGGGAAGTTGGTTATTCTTGTTCTTCCTCGGCCTCCACTGAGGTCATAGGATCGGAGACCAGGGTTGCCAGAGACCTACAAAGTCCAGGAAGCTGTGGACATCAGAGAAAGATTACCCCTTAGGAGCTGAATCAGATCCCCAGCAGGAATGTAATTCCTTGCAAGACACCTTGATTAGTGAACACCTAGCACTTCCCTAGCTCCTGGTACTGGAAAGGATAACATTCCCCCACTCCGTCCTATTAGCCCCTATAGATAGGGGCATCTATCTTCTTGTGAAACAACCCATCTAACCACAGTGGTCTATCTGAGTGTGGGACAGAGCCCATTCTTAGGAAGGACTTTCTGTGGAGCTACCATCATTTCCTCTAAATAGTCCTCCTTTGGTCCTGGTTGTGCTCCCAGGGGCCACACAGAGCCCATCTCTTCTACAAAATCTACTCTTCAAGGATAGGCTTTAAGGACAGGTGTTTGGGTTCTAAGGTAGTCCTGATGGGACAGGATGCTGGGTAATTTACTCTGCCTCAGAGAGGCGGTGGAAGGTATAGCTGATGAGAAGAAAAAAGACCACTGGATGGGAGAGAGGCCAGACTGGGGCATGCAGAGCTCCTGGAGACAAGGGGTGGTGGGGTGAGACACTTCACTGGAATTCCTGGTCCTGCCACTCACTTGTGTGACTCTGAGGAGCAAGAGACTTACGAAACCCTCAGCCATAAAATGCGAATTATAATAGTGCCTTTTCAGGGCTGTGAAAATTGCTAAGCTGGTGAGCAGTGTGGATGCCCATTTTGGTCTCCTTTTCTTATCTCTCTCTATCCCTTCCTCCCTTCCTTGCTTTTTAGACAACATCTCATGTGCTCCAGGCTGGCCTGGAACTCACTGTCTAGTGAAGATTGCCCTTGAATTTTTGATCCTCCTGCCCCTACCTCCTGAGTGCTGAGATTATAGGCTTGTACCACCACATCAAGCTGGGTGCTTCTTCATCTATGGTCCCTTTTAGTTAGGGAAATGAATGATCTCAGGACCCATTCCCAAACTCTGGACATGCAAAGGGAGTCTAGGGACAGAAGAAAAGTCGCTTGGTCTGAGGGCACAGAGACATCTCCTCCTTGTGCAAAATGGGGTCCTCGATGGCACCTGCTGTGTGGTCCATGCTAATAGAGACCCTATCCTTCTGGAATAATGAGTCCTCAGATACACAGACTTGCTGGGTGAACTTGGTTGTGTCAACACGTAGAAGAGAAGGTTGTGCACGGGGACACTGATCAGCTAGGCTGATCTGAGAGCCACGCCAGTCAGAAAGGTCTAGGATATTTTTTTACCACCATGCAAGAGGAAGGGTATAGGAAGGTTCAGTCTGTTATAGTGTAGGTCTGGATTAGAATCAGAAGATGGCTGAGGAGACACGCCTAACTTCAAAGGCCTTGAAAACTAAGGTTGGGCTGGGAATGTGAAGACACAGAGCATGCCCTGCTTTCTTCCTGGACTGGAAGTGTGAAGTACTTGTCAGGCAGCATTGGGGAGATGGAGTTGGACCTTACCTTCTCTCCCTGTACTCACTGAGAGCGGCCCCCATGTCCACTGCCTGGTCAAGCACAAACCCTCCTACTTACCAGGACTCACACAGCAGGGGAAGAAAGACAGGCCAAGTCAGGCCCCAGTTCCCTGAGTGACTTAAATTCTCTCCATTCCTTCCTAAGAAGATGTATAGAGCTGCAGAGATCCCCACCCCAGGGGCTCTGACTTAGCCAATTACCCTGGCCCCAGGGGTCACCAGGATCCTGTAGAGGGTTGTAGTGTGAGTGAGAGCAGTTGACAGAGACAGGCCAGGGAACCACGAAGTTCCCTAAAGAAACAGAACTGATAAAATGAATATATATCATGAACAGTGAGGGGCTTGTCTGAGGGGAGTTGAGAGGCCCCGCAGATAGCAGTTTAGCAAGACCTTCTTTTGACCCTCTCACCCACCTCTTCCAGATGTTGTCATCCATCTGATGAGTCACCATCCATCAGCCCCAATAATCCCATATCCCAACAGCTAGGTCTTGCCGTTGAACCCCAGACCTGTTTAACTGCTTACTGGAAGTTTCCACCTGAATATTCTACAACAAACTCAAATATATAAAGCTACACACTAGAGTCACACCTTCATTCTGAGCCACTGCCATCTTTTGGTGTTTCCTGTGTTAGATATATTGTCCCATGTTTTCTGGGCTGGGAGAGAGTGAGCAGACAGGGCTAGGAAAGGCACCCAGGGTCGTTTCCTCTTCATACCTGATCCCTTGCCAAATTTGGCTCAGCTTTTGCTTCTTTTTGAAATGTGCCCTTCCTTTTTCTCCCTTCTACCATTAACTGTCCTGTTCTTGCTAATATTACTTCTAGCTTGCTTATTGTGACAGTAGCTGATGACTTTTCTCTGTCCTATAATCAGTAGGTGAGAGTACTTTTATTAACTTTAATTTTTCTTAGTCTTTGCTAACCTGATAGGTGAAAAATAGAATTTCTTTGGTTCTTTAATTGATCTTCTTTCCCTTTCTCCCCTCGGCTCACATTCCTTCCCTCCCTTCCTCTCTTCTCTCCCCTCCCCTCCCCTCTCTTCCCCTCCCCTCCCCTCCCTCCCTCCCTTCCTCCCTCTCTTTCTTCTTTCCTTCCTTTCTGTTTTAGGATAGGATCTCACACTATAGCTGAGCCTGGTTTGGAAATCACTATATATCCCAGGCTGGCTTGAATTCACAGATTTCCTCCTGCCTTAGCTACCCAAGTGCTACAGGTATACACTACTACCTATAATTTTCCTATATTTGTACATTAGTTTCTTTCTCTCTCTCTCTCTCTCTCTCTCTCTCTCTGGATAGACTATTTGTTGTAGTTTAGTAAATCATCTCATTATTTTGTTTGCTTAACTTCCGTCCTTGAAAGACTTCTCCATGAAAAAAATGCAAACTCTCTTGTAAGGTAGGAGGCATCACTGTGCTTGATACCTGACTCTCTAGCATGCTTCCAATTGTTCCCGACTTAATACTAACACCTACCATGTCATGTTGTGAGAACATAAACCACATCAAATATGTTGCCAGATGCTTATATGCAATGAACTCTTACTTCTTACAACAATCTAAGAGCATTAGCTCTGTCTTTTTAAAGACTGTTATTTATTAATTTATTTTTATTTTATGGGTATGAGTGTTTCGCCTACGTATATGAAAGTGCATCCATGTTGTGCAATGCCTATTGAGGTCAGAAGAGGGTGTTGGATCCCCTAAAACTAGAATTACTGATGGTTGTTAGCTACTGTGTGGGTGTTGGGAACTAAGCCCTGGTCCTCTGCAAGGGCAGCCAGTGCTCTTAACTGTTGAGCCATCTCTCCAGCCTCTGGTTCTATCTTTTACTTGTGGAAACTGAGGAAACTGGAATAATCAAGCCTATATTCAAGAATTTGAAGTTCCCTGAATGAGCTTCATGTTTCATGTCCTGGAACTTTTCATAGGACCCTGAAGATCGAACCTGAATTTGACTAGGAGGGGGAGGTAAGGGATGAGTGTAGAGAGAGACCTAGAGACTCAAGGAATCTGTACTGGATAAACTCCAAGTCTAGCTTAGTTCTTGAGCCAGGTACTAAAGGACAAAGCCTAAGGCTTAGCAGCCAAATGGGAAGCTGGGGACGGGTGAGTGGGGCCCAGGGGTCTGATACCATGTACTCAATGTAAGGAGCTGAGGCTAACTTGACTGGGATTTCATGTGGTATTTAGGGAAGCAGAGGCTGGAGATCAGAGTGATGGGCTTCCTTACCTGAAGACATGGGAGGGATGCCAGTCAAGGATGGGGCAACATCTGGAAGATGGGAAACGCAAGGAAACAGTTCTCCCCCGAGGTCTGCAGAAAGGAACTCAGATTTGACACCTTGTCTTTCACCTAGGGAAACCCAGTTTGGACTTTTGGTTTCCAGAACTATAAGATAATAAATTTTTGTTTTTTGGAGACACTGAGCTTAAAATAATTGTTAAAGTAACAATAGGAAACCAATATATTTCCTAAATACTCCTGATCATTTCTCAATATGGGTCCATGGTTCTCAACCCTTGCTGTACATTAGAATCATTTAGGAAATCTTAAACAGCAACAGCAACAACAAACCAGTGCACAAAGCTCATCTCCAGAGGCTCTGATGTACTTAATTATAACTTGGATGTTGACTTCTCAAAAAGCTTCCCAGGCAGTCAATGGAAAGATGTATAACTAGCCGCAGTGCTGAGAATGAGTTTGAGTGTCCAACCCTAAGTGAGACACTTACATCAATCCTCTCTCCCTTATCCCTAAGGCTCAGGGAACATTAGGAAGAGGAGGTAGAAAGAATGTAAGAACTGGAGGTTGATATGGCTGTTGCAATCATGAACTCACAGCAGCTGTGGTTACCTGCACAAGACCTATATAAGATCAAGACAGCCCAAACTCCAGCACAGATGGGGCAGATGATCTCCAGGCTTCACCCTTCACTGAGGAGCTATTGGAGTAGATAGTTGCTGGGGAAGGGAGAATCATTCTCTTTTGAGGATGTGGCCACTGGTAAGTTTCCCATGCTCCAGTGGATGGCCCCACACCCATACACATATGGGCAACATTAGCTGGCCTTAGTGGGTTATAAAAAAAGATATGAAGTTGGGAGGATATCGGGAGAATTGGAGGGAGGAGATGTGATCATAGTTCACTGTATACCCATATAAAATTTTCGTGAGTAAAGAAACTAATGTGTAGCCACAGTTGGGAACCATTGATCTAGACCTTTATGCAACACTGTCTTCATTATAGGAAATGATTTCCTCTCTGCTCAGTAGAAACACCAGGGAGGTGTTTCTACAGCACCACTGTGCTGTCAGGATTCCACTCCTAGAAATATGGTTTAATTGGTCTTGAGAGAGGCCAAGCATTGACTTTGTTTTTGAAGGATCCTGATGATTCCAGGGTACACACATCTCCTTGTGGAATTCCTTATATTGTACACAATTATTGCTGTATTTGTATAAGAAATGTGTAGTTTTGTACATAGTTATTTCTGTATTTGTCTAACTTCTACTCTAGAATTTCTATTCTCTTGAAAGGTAGACAATGGACATAGTATAAAGCTGGGACCTACATGGTGCCCAGAACATGAGTTGCCTGTCATCAGTGACATGGCAGAGGTCTCCCTAGCAACTGGCCTGGGCTTTCTTCTTTGGATGTCTTGTATTTTTTTTTTTCAAATAGTCAATGGCTTGATATTTTTATTACTTTTAAGAAGAACATTATTTAAAAACAGTACATAAAAGGCCATAGGTGCCCATCTAAAATTTCATTTCTATAATATTTTTTATCACAGGAAAGATCTGTCTTTCTCAAGCTTGCCTTTTCAAGGTAAAGCTTAAAAAGGTCTATCTCACCTTTATACAGTTCCTGAAGCTGCTACAAGAGGGTGCTGGTGGGATTTTTATGGTTGGTCCACCAGTTTCCAGGGTACCAACTAAGAATAACTCAGGGAGGCTTAGCTATTTACACATGTAACTTGTTTTTTTTTTTTTTTTTTTTTTTTTTTTTTTTTTTTTTTTTTTCCCTGTAGTCCCAGCTGTCCTGGAATTCATTATGTAGACCAGGCTGGCCTCGAACTCACAAAGATCCGCCTGCCTCTGCCTCCCGAGTGCTGCGATTAAAGGTGAGCGCCACCACACCCAGAGTAATTTCTTATAATACTAAGGAATTACAAATTTCTGATAGTCGCATAACTTACTAGAGTAAAACACAAATACTAACTGAAATAAAGCAAATACTACTGCTGGACGTGGTGGTGCATGCCTTTAATCCCAGCACTCGGGAGGCAGAGGCCTAAATTGGTTTGGAAATATTAACCCCTACAAAATCTTAAGAGTCTGGGATGTAGCTCAGTAGTAGAATGTTCACCTAATGTGTGAAGCTCTGGGTTGGATTTGATTCCCAGCACAGCAAAATGAAGAGAAAAAGCAAAAAAAACCCCCCCAAACCAAACCAAAAACAAAAAAAACAAAACCCAAAACCCACACAAATACTACTAATAAATCATTGTTAATAGTGACAGGAGATGTAGGGCAATGGCAAAACACCTATCTAGCATGTGCCTAAGGGCCCTGGATTTGATATCCACTGAATAAATTATTGTTGCTAGTGTAGGAGGCTGTGCATGTACAGTATGTACAGGAGGTAAGATATAAAAGAGCTCTTGATCTGGGTGTGGTGACACAAGCCTTTCATCCCAGCACTCAGCAGGCAGAGGCAGGCAGATCTCTGTGAGATCGAGGCCAGCCTGTTCTACAAAGTAAGTTCCAGGCCAATTGTGGCTATGGGGAGACCGTGTCTCAGAGAGAGAGAGAGAGAGAGAGAGAGAGAGAGAGAGAGAGAGAGACTACTTCTGTTTTTTTTTGTGTAGCCATCATGACCCCAAAATCTAAATTTTATTAAAATAATACAAATGTGGAACTAGAGAGATTGCCTAACACTTAAGAGTACTTGCTGCTCTTTCAGAAGACCTAGGTTCAATTACAAGGACCAATATGGCAGCTCACAACCACTTGTAACTCCAGTTCCAGGAGATCCATTGCTTCCTTCTAGCCTCTGCAGGCATTGCACACATGTGGGGAACCTATATATA